TAGAGAGAAAGAGAGAGAGAGAGAGAGAGAGAGAGAAAATGGAATCACATTTTTGGAGGTGCGTCTCCATTTTCATTATATGGGTCAGTTAGGAAGATCAACCGACTCAAGGTAGGCTATCGTTACCCTACCTTTTATTTTAATCATTTGTTATTTTGCTTATTTTCCAAAATTTTTATCATCAAAACACACGAATTTGATGATATATCTCCGTATTTTGGAAACTTTAACCGTGTAGTTTTTAATATGATGTTATCATAGCTATTCAATAGATTTTAGCATATGCATATTGAATTTTCACTGGATATTTATTTTGCTTGAGACAAAAGTCCTAATTTGAGTTATATAAAATTTTATAAGTGTAATTAAAAATATGTATATTATATAATACTGACACAAAGAAGATGACGTGCATGCTTAATATGTAATTTCTATTTTGATTGTTGCATATAGATTGATTATATTATTGCATACTATGGATCTCCCTATTTTGTTGTATATGCATGCTTTACATATGAATTGTGCTGCCGAAGATATTACAACCGCTTGAAATTGTATGAAATTATAAAGTGTGTGTGTGTGCAGGAAAAACTGTCTACTATGATTCAGGTTGATAAAGACATGTTACCCTGCGTAAGAGAGTGGACTGATGGGCTTTCCATTAAATGGGTTAGTGGTGTAGTCCCATTGCATGTTAGGGGTAAATATGATATGATGTGAGTGCTGACTAGCTTGGGGTGACAACTCCCGTGTACTGTGCCACTTGACTGACTGTTCTGACATTTTTTTACTAACATGATATGATATTGCATTGTACATGCTTTACTATGCTTAGTATAGAAAAAGCACTGCATATGATTATTCAAATCACCTAACCTGTATAGTATATTTGTAACAATAGTTATGCTTGATTATATGATTTTTATTCATTGCTACTTTTGTGATATGATATCATATTGTAGATACACGTTTTACAGCATACATACACATGTTCAGTGACCTACACAGACCTACCTGTTGGCATACATGACATGACTATGATTCAATCATTCTTATAGTTATATTTACATGCATTGATTTCAGTTGTTGGTTTCGTGTAACCTACTGAGTTGTTTTCTTACTGTGGTTGCTTTTACATATTTTCAAGGAAGGGTAAAGATCTAGTCAAGTTAGCTGCTAATACTTGTTGATAGAGGTAAATTTTATACACATACTTTGTGATTTGGATAAATTTGTACATTTTGTTGGGATTATTATAAAATCATGATCAATGTATATAAATGTTCTGGATGTAAATAATTTTGATCTATATAAAGAAAATGATATTATAATATACTTTAGCTTTATTTTTATACTATTATCGGTGGCTTAGTATCTTTGTTTAATGAGCAATAGAAGATAAAAGAAAAATTTCCCAAATAGATATTGGGCTAAATAATTTGTTGTGCACTTGACATGGTATAATCGATAACCGTTTATGTGTTATATAAGGTTTGGTTGTGGCAGGATGGTAGTTGAATCACTGCTAAATTTAAAATGCTGGCGATGGGCTGTAACAATGAAGATATGTCAATAAACCTTCGAACAAAATTTTATAAAGATACCATACTTTAAAAGCACTATAAGCAAGAGTCAAAATTACATTCTTCCCATGCAATACCCTACGAGCGACCAAGGCGAGATCACTACTCGATAAATGGATACCCTTTGAGATAAGCGAGATATGGAGACAACAAAAACAGGTGAGATGAAGAATGATAACAACGATAAATGACTTGGGAAACTGAGCTAATAGTGACTGATGAAGGTTAGTGAATAATGGACGGGATAATGTAGAGTGACCATTTCTATGCTGTGGTAGACTTTAGGTGGTTAATACATAAATATTAATATTTAAATGTTTAGGATGTAAGTACATTTGTCCTAGGTATTAAGTGTGAGGAACCTTTTTTTTGAGAAATTAAGGGCCACGCCAGCTTTATTACTGATGAATAATAATGGATAAGATAAAGAAAAGTACAAATGCATAAAAAAACAACAAACTGTTATAATACAACCAAATAAAACAAAAAACAAACGACACCAAAATTAAGAGAACAAAAGACACTAATACTAATCTGAAAACCTATATAGTAATTTGAAAAGCCATAAGATCAAAGATCCCAAACTCCAATAGTAAATATAATAGAGTTCATTCTAGTCATCATCAACTAAGATCCAAAAACAACACAATAAATTACTCCAGAGAACAACTCCAAAATAAATCAATAGCAAAATGAAGTTAGAGTTGTTGAATTTAGCATCACCAAATATAACGCCAAAAGAGATTCATTTAATTTACAATAGAGATATTATAACAAAAAGGAAGAGCAAGAGACAATAAAAATGAAAAAAATGATAACCAAACCAATTCCAGGTAGCCAAACCAAAAATAGAAAAATATGATGAACATACCCCATCAAACAAACACCCAGCTCCTTAAACACCACCAAAAAATTAAAACTAAAACATTACCATGAACAAAGAACCAACAAAAGAAGCACAAGATAAGTATCGAGATAAAAAACAAAATAAGATTAGAACTTACCTGATGAAAAAAAATATTAAAATAATTTCCAAACTATAAATGTTTTAACACCAAAAAATATTAACTAGTATGGTTGAATTTTAATGCAATGACTTGAAAACATCATTGCTCAACCAAAAATACCCCACTTAAAAGGGAAAGATTAAGAGAAAATTGATCAAATAAATAAATCTAAAATAACAATCCATTCAATAAAGCTAGAATATGAAGAAAATAAGAAAATTCTTATAAAATCCAACAAAGATGTTAAAATAGAAGGAAGAACTAAAGAAAAAAACAAATGAAAAAGATTGCTACCAAACCAATTATAGATAATAGAAACAAAACCAGATAAAAAAGAAGAACAAATTACATCAAACAAACACCAAAATAGGTCGAAGAACACCACCAAAAAGCAAAAACCAAAACACTACCATAAACAAGGTACAAATAAAAGAGGCACAAGAGGAATATGAAAAAGATAAAAAAACAAGCTTAAAACTTATCTGACGAGAAAAGATATTAAAATATCTTTCAAATGCAATAAATATTCTTACACCAAAAAAAATATTTACTAGTGTGGTTGATTTTTAATGCAATAGCTTGAAAAATTCACAGCTCAACCAAAAAAACCCGACCTAAAAGGAAAAGATCAAGAGAAAACCGATCAAATTAGTAAATTTGAAATAACATTCAATTCAATAAAGCCACAAAATGAAGATAATAAGAAAATTCTTGTAGCTTCCAACAAGGAAGAAAAAAAAACAAATGAAAAAACAACTTGAAAACCAATTCCAAGCTGCTAAACCAAATGAAGATAAAAAACAATAACAAATTCCATTAAACAACAACAAAACAAGTTCAAGATCACCATTACAAAAAATCAAAACTACCATAAATAAGTTAACAACAAAAGAATCATAAGAGAAGTATCAAGAAAAAAAGAATAAAGGGCTGAGAATTTACTTGACAAAAAAGTACATTAAAATAACTTCCAAATATTATAAATATTTTTACACCAAAAAAAAATTTACTAGAATGGTTGAACTTTAATGCAATGCTGGAATTTAAAACATCATTGCTCAACCAAAAGTATCCAGCTTAAAGGGAATGATTAGGAGAAAATTGATCAAATCAGTGAAGTTGAAATGACAATCAATTCAATATAGCCACAAAAACAAAATAATATTTGCATTGATAAAATAAAATAGTGAAGCAACAATGATTGAAAGATAACAAAGAGAGAATCAGATAAAAAAATAAAAAAACCAAAACCAGATAGAAACTTGATACAAAAAGAACAGAGATATCAAGTTAGTTCAAAAATAGAAGAATAAATATAAAAAAAAAACATGTAGAGAATCTAAAAGCAGATAAGAAAATACAGAAGTCACAAAATTAAAAAAAGAACAATCCAATTCGATCAACATCAACTTAAATAAAAAAAAAAAAAACAACACTAGAGAACAACTCCAAAATAAAACTAGCACAAAACACCAAAGAAGGTATCATAAGAAATTCTTATAACATCCATCTGATATGCAATAACATCAAAGATGAACAAGAGAAAAAATGAAAGAAAACAGAAACCATACATGATCTAACAAGTTGATCCAAAAGTAAAACTAATTGAAATAGATCTCAACAAACAAACAAAAACTGATCCAATGAACACCACCAAAAATAAAAGACCAATAGTGGGAGCTAGTAAAAGAAGCACAATAAGAGAACACAAAGAAGATTTCAGATAAACTTATTTGAAATAAGAAAATATTAAAATACCTTCCAAATACTGTATTTATTTTATATTAAAAAGACATTTACTAGCATGGTTGAATTTTAATATAAAGACATGAAAATGCCAAAACTTCACTCAAAAATAAAAATGAAAAAAAAAAGAGAAAAAACTAAAAATTATAAAAAATATTCAAAATTGAATGAAACTTAAATTTCCACTTTCTGCTTTTTTTTTTTAATCATCGAATGAAATTTATGAATAAGAATATTGAGAGAAATATATATTTTTATTTACAATTCTATTATTTCTCTCAAACTAAATGTAGTATGCAGAGATCTTATCAGCCAAAAGATAAATTTTTTTAAATATTTTACAAGTAATATTTCAAACACTTAAAAAAAATTACTTAGAAAAATTTAAAAAAATACAATTAGGAATAAAATTTTTGTAAATATTTTGAAAAAAAATGACATTGAAAAAATAAATAAACATGAGATTCAATATTAGTAGAGCATAAAATGTAAATAGAATTGACAATGAAATTTCTAGAATAATAATACTATGGATTTTAAAATCATTATAAATACTTTTTCAGCTCTGAATCACAATTTTAATAAAAAATCTTTTAAAAAAAGGAAATTTATACCATTGAACTCCAAGAAAATTTACACATTGAGTGATAAACATTATGACAATTATTGGTAAATAAACTCCGGATCGTTCTCCGTGCTGGCGGAAAAATTTTCGCGCTTTTCCGATATGAACCGCCGAATTCCTGTTTCCTCCTGCTCGTCTCTCACTCTCTCTTTATTATTCTGAGTTAGCGGAGAAAATGGGGAGAAGGAAAAGGCCTAGGGTTTCGGAAGAACCTCGGGGCGATCAAGAATCCGGAGGCGATCTTGAAGAACCGTCCGCAAGAGAGAAGAGCTTGTACGAGGTGACCCTTAACTTCTTGATTCTCCTCTTATCCTATTTATAAAATGGACCGTTTGCCTTCTAACTTGTAATCATCATAGGGAAACGGTTGCTTTGGATGTAATTGATTCATGTAATATGCACATTTGGAACGTACTTTGGGTTAAGGAGCTATTAGGGTTGGTGAGCTAATTTGTTAAACAGATAGTCGGTAGTGGGTTGTAGGGACGAGGTATTTGCTGGATGCATAAGGGGGTATTTGGTAGCATCTTTTTAATAGGACCTACATGATTTACGGCTGGTCATGACGTTTGGGCGATCAACTTGTATGATGGTGAGTTGAGCTTCTACAAGGATCAGGTCCTTCTAGTGGTTTGCCACTGCCTTTGTGTACAGAACTATTGTCGGTCCTGAACCACTATGGAGTAATCCTGACCCAAATGAAACGCAGCTCCATCGTGACCATCATGACCTATGTGGTCTACTGGCGATGGATAGAGGTTCCGTGGTTGTAGGAGTTGTTCTCCTACATGTTTTCCTTCCAAGTGGAGCCCGATGGTTATGTGGTTTGACTTGGTTGGTCTCGAAATTAAAATAAAAGATTGGAAATAGCGGTTCTTCATTGAGCCTGCTAGGGAGTTTGGGGCGCTGAGTCGGTCGTTAGACAAGGTGTACAAGAAGATAAAATCATTTTCCATCTAGATCCAAAGTTTGGCCTCAACTATTGAGGGGAAGATTTTGTTAGTCGTGCAATATACCGACGAGACATTTGTGTACATGGTTATGAATCCAAGGGAGTTTGGAGTGATGACCCTAGAGATTTAGCAACTTCTGATGCTGTGGAGGAGAAGTGGCGGATGGACAGGTTCACCTAGTCAGAGAAAAGGAAGAAACCGCACCAGGAAGCGAATTGATCGAGGAAAGAGCCGAGGGCATCCGTTCGCCTTGCTTCTAAAGGAAAGGACTCCTAAGCTACCACTTGAACTGTGGCTAGGATCCCAAGTTTGGATTTACTTCACTGTGTTTCTGAAACTATCGTTGTAATTAATATTCGCTGGCGATTTAGTGCTGATCGAGTGGAAGACTATTATGACGAACTTAAATAAGTGAGTTCGTGAAGAGGAAGGGTCCCAAGCTCGCAGCTACTCCCGACTGGATGCTGAGGAGCTTCTAAAGGGGCCCTTCAGACTGCGTGGCTGATAGTTCTTGTCAGGATTCTCCAAGTTTGAGTTGAGAGACGTTGGTTCTACAATGCTCAAGCGTTAAGAGTTGACTTTTGGATGTTTTGAATATCGGTTGGGTATTGTGCACAGCTATGGGTCATCTGTATTTTTTATCAATTTGACTGCTTGCGTCGTTGGTTAAAGGTAATGGTGTCTGGATCACATGTTTTACTTCTCGAATCTTGTTTAGTTGTTAGGATCTTGGCCTTAGATGGAATACCATCAGGGCTCGATGTTAGGGTGATTTGTGCAGTACCCTTCGCGGAGTTTGTCGCTGCTGTGCAAAGAGCCTCCTTTAAAATTTTCATCCAGCTAAAGTTTATAGATTAGTTTGGCGATTGCCTGTTTTGTTCGCTCGATCAGACTAATGCCCTGGACAGGGGTTGCCGTCGAGACTTGTTTCCGGGACTATTTGCACCATACCCTTCGTGAAACTTGTCGTTGTTGGGTAGGAAACCACCATCAGAGCTTTGTCTGGTTCAAATTTGGGAACAAGTTGATGATACGTGAGTGCTATGATATATTTTGATAATTTTAGTGTATAAAACCATAAAGAAAAGAAATAAAACTGCCTCTTTTAATTAAACTTTCATAGAAAAATACATAAAAATTTTCTAAGGGAAGAAAGAGTTGAGGTGGTTTCCGCTCCATGTTCGTGGGACTCCCCAGTCTGTGTAGGACTTCAATTTGTACGCCCCATTGCTGACCCTCTACTCGATGATAAATGGTTCATCCCATGTCTGGTTGAGCTTGCCGACTGACATCCCGCTTGCTGCAGGATCGACCTTCTTTAGCATGAGATCACAGGGTGCAAAGGTCTTATCCCAGACATGCTTGTTGTAGCAGAGAGTGATACATCTCTTTACTTGCTTTTGATGGATAGCAGAGCTGATACGGATCTCCTCCACCAAATCTAAAGCGAGTGTTGCTCCCTTGTCATTCGCTTCCCGCCACTCTGTCAAGTCATCAGAAGCTGAAGCAGTTACCACTCGTTGACTGTGTTGATTGTACTCTACTGGCAACATAGCCTCCATTCCATGTGACAACATAAATGGCATTTGCCCTGTGGCGGTCAACGATGTCGTTCACATTTTCCAGAGGATGAATAGTAGGACATCGACATATTTCCCCTTGACCCCTTCAATTTTCTTTTTCAGTAGATTCAATATTATTTTGTTAAGTTTTGGCCCGTCCATTGGTTCGAGGGTGATGTACTGACACAAATTTCAAGTTGATGCCTTTGTTAGAAGTATTTACTCATTTGTCCTCGAATTGAGTTCCGCTGCCTGTGATGAGGATGAATGACATTCCATATCTGTTGTTAGAAGTATTTACTCATTTGTCCTCGAATTGATGAGGATGAATGACATTCCATATCTACAGATGAGGTATGTTTAGATGAAGTTTTGAACAACCTCTGCTGCTACGTGGGCTAGTGGTTTCGCTTTGATCCACTTGGTAAAATAATCCACCATGATCAGGAGATACTTATGTTGGCCCTTCAATGTGGAAATGACCCAAAAATATCGATTCCCTAGACGAAAAAAGTTAGGGACTGACGATCAGCTGCGACCTTTGGGCCGATTGATGCTGTAATGATTTGTACTTCTGGCACTGCTCACACCTATTCGAGAATTCTTCAGAATCCTTTAGGAGTGTTGGCCATAAGTATCATTGTTGTTGGATTCTGTGTGCTAGGGTGCTTTCAGAATGAGTTTCACATTCTCTCGAATGTATCTCTAATAGGAGATCCTTCTTTTCACCCTCACCCATGCATCTCAGATAAAGAGGGACGGTCAACTTCTGAAATAGTTTTCCTTCGATCAGTAAGTATTGGGCGGCCTTGCATTTGAATCTTTTTGGATTTGTGATTTTTTCTTCTATTTTGCTAGTCTTCAGGAAGTGGATGTAAGTTTCCATCCAGATTCTCATTCCTTCGGTCTCCATCTCCATTACTTTGAGTTCTTCACTAATTTGTCGCAATAACTTCTGAGGTGTCCCTTTCCCTAAGAGGATATACACTTGGCGAGGAGGTCAACCACCTAAATGTTCTCCATGGTGATGTTTTCTATTATGAAATCGACAAACTTTCAAATTTCATCTTTGGCTTTGCTGAGATACTTAGCTATCATTTTGCCTATGGCTTCAAATTCTCTGTTTACCTAGTTCATCACCAGCTGGGAGTCTGTATTTACATGCTGGTGCCGGGCACCCAAGCCTTACTCAATGCAACCCAACAATCAAGGCTTCGTACTCCGACTTGTTATTGGTGACGTCAAACTCAATGACCGTCAAAAGGTAGATGTGCTTTCCACTCGGACTGCTCAAAGCTAGTCCTATTCCTGCTAATGCATGATTGGAGGCTCCATGGATGAATGAGGTCCCTATTATTCGGTTGGCACTGGTCTCTTCACTCGGCAAGCACGGTTCTGTGAAATCCTTTAAGAATCCACTACTGCTTACACTTTGATGGTTGTTCTTGGGATGTAGGTGCTATTGAACACAATCAACTTCATCACGCATTTTAGGAGTTGACCAAAGTGCTCTGGTCGAGTGAGGATAGATTTCAACGAATGATCGGTGACTACCCAGATAGGATGCATTTGGAAGTGTGATCTAAACATGCGAGCTAACATAACCAATGTAAATTTTAGCTTTTTTCATAATCGGATACCTGAGTTCGGTGTCCCGGAGGATTCTGCTAGTGTAGTATATTAGGAATTGCTTCCCTAACTCCTCACGAACTAGTACAAAGATGTGGCCTCAGGTCGTACTCCTAGGTACAAAGATAGTTCTTCATTCGGCTTTGGGCTTTACAACAGTGGTGGTGATAGGAAGGAATCCTTTAACTTCACGAATGCTTCCTCATAGTCAGTTAATCGGTCGAAGTACTTGGTCTTTCTAAGTGTTTGGAAGGATGTTGCGCATTTGTCTCTTCCTTGCGAGATGAATCGGCTGAGGCTTGCTATCCGAATGTTTAACTTCTGGACTTCTTTGATTTTTCAGGGAGAAGGCATGTTCAACAATGCTTGCACTTTTTAAGGGTTGGCTTTGATCCCCTCTGAGGTCACGAAGTAGCCAAGGATATTACCCGTAGAAGCTCCGAATGTGCACTTAAAGTGGGTTTAACCTCATTTTAAATTTTCTAAGTATTCAAATATTTCTTTTAAGTCAATTATTTCTTATTCGGTTGACCAACTCTTAACCAACATATATTGGACATATATCTTAATATTCTTGCTCTTTTGATTAGAAAAAAATTACATCCATGAGTTACTGGTACGTGGACCTAGTGTTTTTATGGCCAAAAGGATTTACGTTGTAACAAAACCAACTCTCACTAGTAATAAAAGAAGTCTTTTTTGTGTCTCCCGGGTGCATCTTGATCTGGTGGTAGTCGGAGGAAACATCGAGAATGCTTATCACAAAATGCCCGACTGCTGAATCCACTAGTGGATCAATCCTTGTTAAGTGATAGCTATTTTTTGGGCAAGGGGAGTTTTGGTTAGTGAAGTTGACACATATCCTCTATTTGTCGTTTGCATTCTACAACATAACTACATTAGAAACCCGGGATGGGTATTGCACCTTCTGAATGTAGCTGGCTTTTTTGAGTTTTTGCACCTCCTTCTTGATTGGTCTTGCCAGCGTCATTGCCGGATTAACGTTCAGCCGGTGACAGGCGATGTCCAGTGCTATGCCAGACATTTTTGTTGCTGACACGGCAAAAACGTCTCGATGCTTCCGGAGGGTTTCGATCAACAAATCCTCATATTTCACAACAAAAGTTTCACTAATT